GCCTTGTCTTGGCCTCTAAAGGCCAATCCCTTTTCTCAGCCTCTAAAGGTCTCTGCCTTGTCTCGATCTTGCCCTCTGAAGGTCTTAGCCTATAGAGGTCTCTGTCTCTGTCACTGTACTCCTTCGTGTTGGATTTTGGGGTCTTGACTACAACGCTAATTTCATTATTAAACAGCAGGTTTATTTGGACCTAACATAATCAATGATGAACACATGAGGCACACCTCATCCCTCCACACACAACAGATTGAAAGGATTTTCCATGTTGCTTTCTAGCCAAGTTACATCATTCCTGGTTCAAATTTTTACAGTATAGCAGCACTTCTACACAAGATGATATGAAAATACAAAATATGAGCATTTCTAAAATTCAAACTGCCTCCTAAACTGTGAGGGCTTGTGGTACCTGGATAGAAGTAGTGATGCCGTGGCTGTTGAGCACTTAGTATTGCTGTCACCTCATCGTGGTCTGATGGGTGGATGTATTCAAATATACTATTTCCTGTTAACTCCACCTGCAACATAAACATTTACAGCAGCTAATATTTCTTGCAGGAATTGTAACAATTGAACGTTGTTGAAGCAACTAAACAAATTTGTTGCTACATTTTATCAAAAACCTACAGACCTGAAGGAGGGAGGGCCCTACCTGGGATAAGCCGAGGTGGACTGATGCTGTTTCCGAGATGTACATTATTTTCCCATCGGGTCCAATGACAAACAGGAAGCCATCTAGAGTCTGAGGAGCAAAGTGACAAGCAGCTGATATTTTATATAAAATTGGTAATATTTTTTTTTTAAAGAACCTTATCATCAGAACAAAACCTTCTGCCTGCATATGAATGTTTTTTTTTTTAAATACTGATTTGATGATACTGTAATTTTTCTATAAATAGATTCACATTCCCTGGTTAAATACAAATACATGAGCAATCAGTAGGGATTCCTGACGCTGTTTGTAAAACCAAAATCAATGAGTAAAGCAGTATTTACCATTTACCATGATGGACTGCTGGTACGGTTCTATTTAGTTTTTTTTTAATTCTTTTCTGAAATGATTTGGAACAATATCAAGATAGATTATTTCTCCTTATAAAAGAAGAAAAATATTTGGAAATTCTCATTTTACATAAATTCCCATAATCTTTATCTGGGTAAAAAAAAGCGTCTGTTCATCTCAATTATTTGTAAAAACGAATCTGTTAGGCAGAAATTATTTTTACAAGAGTTTATATCTTAAAACATTGTAAAATATTTTGAATTGCAATGACACTAATTTCCAAATTACAATTTTAGATTTAGACGTAGACTCAACTTTATTTAAAACTTGTAATTACTCCTTAAGGGAAATTCTGGTTCCATTAGGTTATATCGAGTACAAAGAGCTAAAGCAAGATGACATTAAAGATAAAAATAAAACAGATGATTTAAAAAGAGTGTTTAAAGTACAAAAAAGTTGTAATGTCCTGGAATATGTTTAATTTAGACATAACAAATAAAAATATCTACACAGTATAGAGCTAAGGGAAAACTACACACTAGTTTACTTGGAATTTCTGCACTTGCACTGCAGAAATGTATTGACCATATAAATAAGTAAAATTAATACAGACTACACAGTAGTTGACTTGGATTATTGCACTTGTACTGCAGAGATGTACTGACCTTATAAATAAGTTAAAAACAATTACACAGGCTACACAGTAGTTGGCATGTGTTATTGCACAGTAAGAGAATACAATATTGCACGAGTGACAATAGGAAATGTTTTTTATAAGATGTCCAAGGAGGGGGGTGCTGACCCTTGCCCCTCTTCCCATCACCTCCTCCTTCCCCCAAAAAGGAGTTGACAGCTTGATGACTTGAGGAACAAAGCAGTTTAGTCTGTTGGTCCTACATTTGGGAGGAGCAATCTCCCATTGATCAGGCTCCTCTGACTGGTGAACCTCTTAGAGAAAACATGCTGATCAATAGAAGGTATTGCTGGTGAAGATTCGCAGTCAACCAGGTCATAGAAATTACAAAAAAACTAAGAAAACAATCCACTGGACTTTGCTTCCAAGTCTTAAGATATTTACTTCCCATCCAGGAAGCTTTTTCATTTCAAAATGTTATGGCTTAGAAAACATAACATAACACAAATTGAATCGGAAAAAACAGGTCCACCCATTAGTAATGGAGTTCAGTGAGGTCTTTGTTAGCCTGGATACTGGCCTATGCCTCTGAAAAGGGTCACTGGTAGCCTGGCTGACCAGACGAGATGTTTGGTCCCCTGCATAACAATGAGGATTATGATGATGGCAAGAAATATTAGCTGCTGTTGAAAAAAAAAATATTAAAAATACTTTGCACAATTAACATATTTATTATGAATATTTAGGGAAATGATTTTGACTTTTTTATTTTACTGTTAAGTGTATTCTGCTTTTGATTTAGTTCACGGAAGCTAGGTTGTCATGGCAACATCAAGAGGTCACCAATTAAAGAGGTATCCCGCTCACGGCAGCGGACTAGTAAATTTACAGTCTAATGACAGAATCGAACAGGAAATATGGCACAGAAAGGTATTTAGGATTCGTATGCTCATGAGAGACTTTATTTCCACGACCCCAGAGTGCACCTCAACATTTGGACTCCTGTTCTGGTGTCCAAATGTTGGTGGTGGTTTGTTTTTTTAACTTTTTTTTATTGTTATTTTTTTTTACTTTTTTTGGATTGGAAACTATTGTTTTGCTATTAATTAGGAGAGAAAAAATTCACACCAAATACACTACAAGTTGATGAAGTATTTATAAGTTTTCACATAAACTACAGTATAAAATAACATCAAAACAAAAAAGGAAGCAAATTAAAAGAATGAAATACCTTGAAACACATCTCAGGGTAAAGATGTTTATTAATAAAAGCTCTTCTGCTGCTTTTTAGCCAGCCTCTTCTACTACATTGTTTCAATTTATGGGCCTGATCTTTTGCAAGTGATATAAGCTATAAGATGTTAAAATGTGCAAAAGTTTTTTTTTTTAAGAAAAAGAGCAGATAATTAGTGATACTGGCAGCTTGATGTGTTTCTAAGTCATGTGTTTGGATGGGGTCAATAATAATAATAATAAAATAACGATAAAGGTATTACTAAAAATTATTTGTAGTGTAATTCTCATAGAGATAGCCAATCTCAAAGTGCTACAAACAAAAGTAAAAAAAATAATGAAAATAAATTGAGTTCAATACAAAGAAAAATGAATTAATTAAACACCAGGAAGTTATAATTGCTGAATGAGGTGCTATAGATGCGCCAATTAACCTAATGGTTATGTTTTTGGTATGTAGGAGGAAGCAGGAGTATCTGGAGAGAACACACACGTGCACATGCACAGATAGTATTAAACTAGTTAAGTAAGACAACATACTTAACTCTCATTCCAAACATCACAGATTATACTAACTTGTAAAAGATGGGAGCACAGGTCCTTGGTCAAGCTGCCCAGAGGACCGAAACTTGGTAAGCTGTCCCACCCTTCTCCAAGACCTGTATGATGGACATGATGACAAAATATTTCAAGTTATGCATCAGACTAAACATGAATATGTCTGCTTCTGTCTCCTTGAACCCCAGTCGGCCTCAGCAGATGGCCGCTCACACTGAGCCTGGTTCTGCTGGAGGTTTCTTCCTGTTCAAAGGGAGTTTTTCCTCTCTACTGTCGCTACAAGCATGCTAAGTGTGAGGGATTACCTTTGAGTTGATGAGTCAAAGCAATCAACTGGTTTTCCTTTGATAGAATCAATTTGACTGGATGATCTGGCTGGATTGTCTCAGTAAAGTGTCTTAAGATGACATGTGTTGTGTCGGCACTATAGAAATAAACTGAATTGAACAGAATCGAATAGAGTAGAAAAGAATCAAACATCATAGAATAGAATAGAACAGCATAAAACAGGACAGAATAGAAAAGAATAGAATAGAGCGGAATAGAATTGAATAGAATATATAAAAATCAAAGCCAAGACACACTCATTTGTTATTTAGGCTGATATGATCACAAATATGGAAAAAATGACAATTAATAATCTACACAGCAGCAGACACAGCCAGTCACAGGTGCCATCTAATAGAATATAATAGAACAGAATAGAACAGAAGAGATCACAACAGAATAGAACATGATAGATTAAAACAGAATAGAACACAATAGATCAGTATAGAACAGATAACTTAATTTATCCCTGAGGTAAAATAGAGTGGGCTAAGAGCAGACAAAAACAAACACATTATTAAGTAAGAAAACAATGAGCGACCAACAGGTCTGCCAGGATGCTTAATAAAGTACTCTAGTATTTCCTTTTAAAATGTATTTAAATGTCTTGGAGTTCAGTAAGAGAAGAGCAACAGGAATTTCAATATTTTGCTAATTGGGGCTAATTGTGTCCCAGAATTCCCTGTACTCCTCACCATCCTGGCCTATCCTGTGTTGCGCAGCTCCTTTAACAGACAGCTGAGCTGATATACAGGATCCCTTTAATTGCCATATTGTACAAAACGGGCTGCAGTTGAGAGGTGAGTCCAGTTCATTTCAACCTCCTGAGAAAGTGGAACAATTGTTGGGGATGTTTGATCAGATAGAAGGCGTTCTCAGTCCAGAATAGGTCAGAGGAAATAATAACCTCCGGGAACTTTATGGTCTTTTCATACAGAAGATCATGTCAATCTTCCTGGACCTCCTGTAGTCTGCTGGGACTTTTTAATGACTGTTATTTGTTTTAATTAATTTATTAAGAATGTTATATAAAAAAAATTCCAGATGAAAAGGAAAAAAGGCAGCCCACTTAAAGGAAAAAAAAGAAAAAAAAGTAGCAACGGGAATGAAAAAAATACTCATTGGCTCTTTTGGAAGCATCTTCTTGTTGTGAGTATTTTTGGCTTTGAGCATTTTTGGATTTTTGTGGATTTATATTTTGGGATTTTTGCTTCTGTTAAAGGGGAACACCGTTTTTTTTTTTCTATTTTTTTTTTTTTTCACATTGGCCCCTTGGTTTTACGCTATTACATCATGTTCTACTCATCCATATTAGTTTTGTGTCATTTGGAGCTGGTCTGAAAATAAGAAAAACCGCGTGGACCGGCTAGCATTTATTCATCCTGTCCGCTGAACTGCTGCTAGTTTTCCTCACATGCCTGGAAGATGTCTAGTGCTGCTACCACAGATGATCTCCCTCTAGAAGTGGAAATGAACGATTCAGATTAGCTGAATGAATAGAAGGGGTAGAGCGTAGCCGCCTGTGGCCCGAGCTGCCTGTCACAACTCCAGATGATGTCATACACACACTGCTTTGTTTAAAAAAAATATAAATATAAAAAATATAACCGTGGATGTCTGGGGGACAGTGATTTACCTACATGTTCTGAATGCTGGCGTACCATAAAGAATAAATTATGAACAGTTTAGTTTGTGCCTTCAAGTCGTTACCCATAGGAAGACGTTACTTGGATATAACCTAACGGAATAGCTTGAGAACGGCTCCAAATGACACAAAACTAATATGGGTGAGTAGAACATGATGGAATAATGTAAAATCAAGGGGTCAATGTAAAAAAAGAAATGGTGTTCCCCTTTAAACTTTTGGTTATCTAAACATTCAATTTACCACCTTAGTATTGTGTCTGCATTTGGATCCTGTCAAACCACCACCTTCACAGTGACACAGCTGCTGGGTGGAAGGTCTGCGATGATGCTCTTTAGTGCACTTGGGGTGCAGCAAGCTCTCTCTGATATTTGTCTCCATATCTGTAAAAGCTTTATGCATGTGGTGGAAAACGTGCAACACTTCTGTCATCATCCAGGTGGCCTTACAAGTGAGCCTATTTGAAGACTCCTCTGACCTGCAGATAAGATGCTGGCCCAACATAAGACATAAAATTTAATGATGCCACTTAAGAGTCAAGGAATTGATTTAGAATCTAGCTGTACTCCAAAAACTCTGTCGGTCAGGTAGGTTGAGTCTGGAGGCTTATAACAGCCCACAATGACACATCACTTTGATGAGCCCCTGTGGTGCAGCACAGATCTCTACAGGACCTTAGTCAGGACAAGCCTGTCAGGCGACAGGCAAACAGTGAGATGATCCTGTATTTACTGCGTTAGACGGCGATCCACTCCTGATGGCGCCCTCCATCTTTTCTTTCAGAATTCCTGGTGGGAAGGTCATTCAAAGCATTGGAAAACCCAAAGAATATGATCCTCCCAGTATTTCAATCCACTGGACTCTGTTTCCAAGTTTGAAGATGTTTTAAGACGTTGACAAAATGTTAGAAATAGTGTTGAGTTTGAGGCTTTATAGACCAACAAGGCTTCAACTCAAGTGAGTTGATTCCTTCCTGCTATGATTGTAACCCCAACCTCTTTAGGGGGGAACAGAAGACCAGATTGGTCAGTTGCTGACAGGCCTCCAGGATTAATTGACAGGTGGCTCCACATCTCTGATGATGGTGTAATCCTGTAAACTCCCCTTGCTGACTTCTAAAGCCTTCAATTAGCAGGTGAAGACATCGATGCATCGTCTTGTTTATAATTCCAGCGAGAGGCCCTGGTCCAGCTGCCTCAGCATCCTTAAGACTCTAGTTACTTTTCCTGTTTCGAACCAAACATTTTGGATCCTTCATCCACTAAATCTCAGTGCTGGTTCTACTTCTCTAATCTATAAACCAAACTCTCCATCAACCAAAACAATAGAAATGTTCTTTAAGCCTTTTACTAAAGCCCAGATAGTTCTGACTTCATGTATTTGTATCAATGTAACAAAGCTTTATAATTATCATTATCATTATTATAGTACAATATCCTTTGAAATGTAACTTTAAAAATCAGCTTTTTTAAAGTTGTTTGGTGGTGTGACTAATTATTTCAAAAAGAAATTAATAACAGGGACTTAAAATTGAAAAGCAGTCCTGGAGATTATATTAAGAGGCGGAGGCTTAAGGAGGAAATTAAAGTGGAGGGATAGAAATGCGGGGGTCAGCCTGAGGTAATCAGGAAGGCTCCATCTATAAAGGAAACAATCCGATCAATAAGGTCCAAAGGTGGAATAATGGGATAAAGGCTTTGAATATAAACATTTAAGGGAAGAGCGAATCATTTCAAAGAAAGCAAGTAAAACGATGTTTTGATAAAACCAAAAGAGCCAAAAAAAGGAGGTTCTAAACCTTTAAAGAAAGAATATATTATAAAGGAAAATTCCAGTCAGCAAGGAATAATCAATGGATCATTATTTATACCTAAAACTAAAACGTTCACTGTGATTTAATGAATTTACTATTAATCAGTAAAAAAAAAATAAAAATAATAATTTTTGTCCTGATCACTGAGTCCAGGAGCGGCCATTTTGCCCAAATATAGTAACCCCTCCCCCCCTGCCATCTTCCAGCAGTGACTGTCGCTACCCGATCCGTACCGGTAACACGATCCGTACCATCAGCTCATTTGCGCCTGCGCGAACAGAATAACTTCCAGGTCACCAAAAAATAATGTAATTACGGTACTGAAAAAACTTTATTTATATCCTTAAATAATTAAAGAATACTAAACTACATCGTAAAGACAATATTGAAGACTTTTTTGGAAGAAATGGATGCTTTTTAAATTCAATCCATTGTATTGCTTGACGTCATTTTTCTGGAATAAAAATCCAAATTTTCGGGAAATGTTCCCTTATCAATGAAAAACTGCAGATCACGAAAGGTAGCAAATGAATCCATTGTGGGATCAGTACTGCTGGAGTGCATAGTTAAGTACAGAGCAAATCAAATATTTAAACAAATTTAAATATATACGCTGTGTGACGTATATTTGCGCATGCTCAGAGCAGTAGAAGTAACTATCACAAGGTGATTGAAGTTTTTTTTATACCGGTATTTCTGTTTTTTTATTTTTAGAAAATGCAATATTGACGAAAATACAAAGATATACAAAAAGAAACCCATGCCTCTAAAAAATACAAAAGAATAAAAAAGTAAGAAAAAGGATATATTGCCACCGGAAGTTATTCTGTTTGCGCACGCGCAAATGAGCTGATGGTACGGATCTTGCTTCCGGTACGGATCGGATAATGACAGTGACGTCACGGTGCGGTAAGCCTAGCGCCATTCTCCCCGCTTTACAAGCTAAATCAATGGGAACTACTAGACACATCTGCAATCAACAACAATTATTGAAGATTTCCAGAGGACTTCACCATTGAAATTCACCAGAGCTATAGTGAAACTGACAATGCCCACGTGCATGGCATCTGGATGCTGGAATACATCGGGTAAAAGTGAAAAAAAGAGTTATTCCACCTTTCTGATTCCTGATCCTCCACGGACGGGTTGGTCGTTGGATCGCCAACTTGAAGAGGGAGGATTTGCCATCGAACTTCTGGCCAGAGAAAAAATCCGTAATATGTAGCCAACATTTGGAAGAAGAATGTTTTCAAGATGACTTGGATAATAGCGCGTTGTGACAAACACCAGATACAGCACTGGGACTTGATCAACAGCCGATACCGCACCGTGACGTCACTAACCAGTAGGTGGCAGTAGTGTTCTTTGACAAACATGGATGCCTCCAGTAAAGCACATTCACATGAAAATTACACTGAATTAAAAACACTGATCATTTATTGAACAGTATGGAATAATTTCATAATTAAAGAATAATATATAGAATAATATCTTTTAAACGCTGTCATTTTAGGTAAATGGTAAATTTTGTTTTCAAAGGTCACCAGTGTTCATGAGGCCATTGTGAAAGTAAAAGAAAGGCTTTAATGGTAAAATGATGCAACTAACAAAAAGATTAAACATGTAACATGTGAATTAATAATTTTGGGAGTAGGAATGATTAAACAGTGTTTAAAAAATGCAATAAAATTGTAATATTGTAATTGTTCCAAGAGCTCAAATTATGTGTTTATTTAAATAAATTGTTAAAGCTGCTTGTAAAGCTAAACATATTCACAACTGATGTGGTTTAAAATACAAAAGTGTTGAAACTGTTTTTAAAAATATTAGTTAAAAACTGTCTTTGACCTAAAGGCTATTGGACTTTTATCTTTTGATGAAGCAGTTTCAGCATTACATATGTTCTTTTCTGCATAACAACAAAATAAAAATAAACAGAAAAGGGGCGATTCTAGGATCAGAGGCTGAGCTCCCAGACAGTTGTCTGACCAGACAAGATTCATTTCACTGTTTTCTACACATATTTTTTAATACTTGTTCAGTGCATTTTGCTAAAGACTCCATCATTCACTAATTCATTGTATCTAAGACATGAGCCAAAACCTGACAAGCAAAGCAAAAAGCAACATTTTTAGAAGAATATTCTAACCAATTAAAGCTTTTAAATCAACTCATTTCATGGAAACCTTTGAATCAGTTTTCATGAAATGAGTTTTCCCTTTTTTTGTGCCAAATTAACTTCCCTGATATATGTAAAATAGTCAACTGAATGAAATGTTTTTCTTTGCCAGTTTAACTTCTGTCGCTATTCTCTGTTTTTTTTACCTGTTTTTTTCTGACCTTTCACCTTTCGCACACCTTGCTCCGTTCCCCCTTCTCCCTCTTTAGACTGGCAATCATAAAATGGATTATAAAAAATAAAAATAAAAAACACCATCAATAGGTGCAGAAATCGGACTGAATATTGTAGAAACACCTGATTGCAGTGATTGCTTCAAAGTGTTGCTTTGGTTTATGATCTCCATTAGGCTTGTTTACCTTTTTTATTTGTTTGTTTATTGTTATTTCTGATGAACCAGAACATAATTGAAGGGGTTAAATAACCAAATACTGTGTAGTTTTTCCAATATCACCTTTTTTGTTATTTATTTTAAAACAGACGCAACAGAAGCAGACGGTATTAGAAAAACAAAAACAAAATAAAAAACAACAACTCATATTTTAGGGGCCTTGATTTAAATCAGGGTTGCTTCAAACCCGCCAAAAATAGGTTAAAAACGCCAATGGTTCAGAGTTTCTCAATCAGGAATCAAAAATATTTGATCATGTTTTCTCTAAGGTACTTTTTTAGTTGCTTTCCATTAGATTGGATGTGTTTTTCATAATTGCTTCTTTTTTTCTAGCATCGCGGCAGAAACGCTGGTTTTTCACCGCAACCCTCCTCTGACGTCAGATCTGTCCTACTTTAGGTGTTTTTATCGGCCTTCTGTTCCAAAAACACCAACATTTCCAACTAAGGCCCGCGCAAAACATTAGTTACTAAAATGTTTTGCAACTTAGTAGAAACGAAAAATATTGTTATTTATTGTTTGAACCTCTAAAAAAGTGGTCAGAAAATATTTTTTTGCGAACCTCCCGTCCCCCAGCAGCTGCTGTGTTCCTAATTACTCCAATTAATGGGAGGCTCTAACAACATAAAAAATTGAAGATATAAAAATTAAATTACACAATTTTATTCTAAATTACTGAAATATATAAGAAAACAAAATAGCTAGAAATGACAAATTACAAAAACTGCGCATAAATGAGCGATTTTAGTGTCTTAGCATGCAGATATAGAGAAGACAAGTTCTCTGGAAGAACAAAGGATGCAAAAGGATAAAAGTGAGGAAAAACTCTGCGGCTTGGTTCCAAAGAAGTAGAAAAGAAAAAAATTCAATCCACTTGACTTTTTTTTCAGGTTTGCAGACGTTTCTTTTCCATCCAGGAAGCTTTTTCAATTCAAAATGTCAGAAATAGCGTTGAGTTCCAGGTTTTATAGAGCGGATAAAAGCAAAGCCTCGTTTTGCTTAAAAAAAATCATGCAAATTAAACAATTGGTCGTTTCATCATTTTATCCATAAAGGGTTTTTATTGGGAGTTAGTTTTAGCTCAAATAAACTGGAAAGGACGTAGAATAATAATAATAATAAATATTACTATTATTATTATTGTAATTATGCTATTATGATATATATATATATATATATATATATATATATATATATATATATATATATATATATATATTTGGTTAAAAAAGTAAATAAAAAATGTCCTTCTCCCTCGGCATTAACGTGATCATTTAACGGTTTTTAACATCTATTCAATCATGTTAAGTTACTTTAACACAATTGTTTTATTTTATTTTAGGATATAAACCAATTGTGTTCATGATTGATTAGATGACAAACAAACAGTTGCATTTTTTTTTTCAGGTTATATTCATGAAAAACATGTATAAAATTATAATAGCCTATTATGAATCTATTTATAAACTATAGGCTTTAAGATAAATTTTTAAAACTATCATGAAATTCAAATGTCTAATGATGTAAACGTAATGAAAATGTTTTTGGGGGGAGTAAATCAGCAGTTTAAGGATAATCTTTATTATGTTTTGTTAGGTTAATCTGCCAATATTTCTAGTGAAGGAAAACCAATGAATGCTTTTCTTTAATAAACATCATTTTCTCTGTAAATGCTCTGGATGAGGTGGTACCGTGTGGGAGGAGCGCTCTCATCCGGAGGTAGCTGCTGCTCAGGCGGATGATGGAGGCCTTGTCCAGCTGGGAGCTGATGGCCGCCGGCAGAGGAAGCAGCTTCGCCAGCTCACAAAACTCTCCGTTTTCCTTCTCTCTGCGCGTCTTTGCAGCGTTTTTCGATCTTTCTTTCATCTCTAGGGAATGATTTATGCTCAAAGAAACGTAGAAAATCGTCTTTCCAGAAGTTCTCCAAGAAATAAATTCATTTCAACCCAAAATAATCTGAACAAAAGTTGCTCCCAGGTGTTTCACTACTAACGGCTTAAAATCTGTATTTTCCATCCGTGTCCCTCTGACTGCAGCTGGGTTATGAAGCTGCAGGAGCGCCTGAAAGGATCCAGCTGAGGGCCAGGCCCCCCTGCCTCTGTGGGCGGAATATTCATTTAAGGGGTGTGCCGCTTTTTCACGTTTGTCCCACAAATCAAAACAATGTACCTTATTGGACTGAATCAAAATGAGGAAAAAAAGGTGAAATGTTGTTACTTGATGCATGCAGAGCTGCAGCCGCAAGGCCCCTGGTCATTACCAGGGGCAGATTTAGGAAATGTGGGGCCCTAGGCAAAGACAGGCAGGGGGCCCTCTGAATGGAGAGGACAACACATAGAACAGACCCATTCTACAGACAGAGAAATGTTAATAGAATAGACATCCATTAT